CTTTCCCTCATAGCTTCCATCCAGTTTATTAGCAGGTTTTGCCAACCAGCCCTAACTTCAAAATACACCCTATGTGACCTACTTACCACATTACTATACCATCGCAGTCCAAGGCACCAATAGCTTTTGCCTGGATTACCACACTTTTTTTGTGTTTTTGTTTTTCTTAAGAGATTTTGCTATAGGGCACGTGCGCTTGCCAGAAAGACAGAGAGAAATCACCCCCCAGGGGGATGGCCACATTGCAATCCCTTCTCCTCCATTCCCCTCTCAGGACCTTGGGCACGCATGCGCATGTGCCCAGCGTGAGTTTAAGCCACCAAGTCCGAGACTTGAACTGCAGTTGACTACATGGAAGTCCAGCAACACAGCTATTACATCATCTGCTGGTCCCACTGTTTTTTGTTTTTTTTTTAAAGAATTATTTTATGTAACTTTATTTATTTAAATTTGACCAGAGAGACAGAGTGAGAGAGTGACAGAGGGAAAGTTAGAAAGCAAGCCGTCAAGTCTGGGATGTGGTTGGCCATGTGGGAGTCCAGCGCCCTTAACCACTATGCTACCTGCCAGCCCCCCACGGTTTTCATACCAACACCCTTGTCATTCTTCCAACAGTAGCCAGGATGGTCTTTCAGAACCCTCCAGTGGCTCCCTTACACTCTATAACACAAGACTTCACATGGCCTCCAGGAGCCTATCAGCCCTGGTTACTTCTCCACCTAAGTTCTTGCCACTCTCCCCTTCCCCTTACAGGCATGCCTGTCACACTGGTCACGTTGTTATTTCCTGAACCTGCTAAGCTTTTGTATCCAGCAGGATACTTGCTGTCTCTGCAATGGAAAGCTCTTTAGATAGACAACTGGCTGGCGGCTTTACTTCATCCAGGTCTCTGTCTGGATGGCGATCCAGAAAGATGTCTTCAGCTGCCCTACTGAGAGCAGACACCCAGCCCCCAGCCCCCAGCTACCCACTGCCTTTGTATCTTTCAGTTTTCTTCCTAGTAGTAAAAGCACCACTACTGACAGGTTCTGTCTTTGTCACACACCCACACTCACTTTTCGTTGTCTCTCCCCTTAAAATAAAAAGCCAGTGTATCCCCCCCAGTGCCTAGAGTAGTGCCTAGAAAGCCATCGGTGTTCCAGAACTCTGCTGGATGATGAAAAAGTAATTCCCTAATACAAAATAAGGCCCCCTTCTTTTTTTCTTACCATTTTACTTATTGTCATTATTTTCTTTTTGAAGTTGACCAGAGAGAGACAAAGAGAAGTGAGAAAGCAAGCTGCCAGGTCAGGGACTTGAACCGTGGTCAGCCATGTGGGAGTCCAGCCACCTCCACCACCATGCCTCCTGCCAGCCCCAACCCTTCCTGAATTAGAATAATGCCAAAGCTCTCAGTGGTGATTAAGCTAAATATTGAATGAAAAAACTACGCAGACCTACTTGACATTTTATAAGGATGTCAAAGAAGTCTTCCTCTGGCTGTTTGTTGTCATTTGTCATTAGGTGGCCAAGTACTGACTGGCTGGTGTTCTGTGTCAGCCGAAGCCCTGGTAAGTTACTGAAGCTGGCCCGCTGGTCATCCAGACGGCGGCTCTGAGAGCTGGCGAGAAGATCTAGAAACTCATCCGTGTTGGGGGACACCACAGAAACAGACGGTGCTATGAACAAGAGAAGTCCGACATGTCATGACAGGATCTAAGCTTGTTTGTCATACACATCGTTCCTTTCTGTCAGTAGTCCCAACGCGAGTTCCGCCCTTGCCCTCCTGCCATCATGCTGTCCCCCACGGCGTCTGAGGAGACGAGTGTGGCTTTTACTGGCAGGAGAGGAAGAAGGAAGCCCAGAGTGCTCCAAATGCGCCATCTCTGGGTAGGACTTGGCTTCATTTCCTCACCCAGACTATAACCATACGGTAGGGGCCAGGTGTCAGAAGGTGAAGGAATAAACCGTTTTTCTTTCATAATTCTCAGGCCAGGATGAGTGGGCGTCAGTGTTTTTTATTCCATGCCCACAAAGCGAACTAAGTGAACTACACTGACAGTTAAGTACTGCTGGCGAGCCTTGGGTACGGTGTAAGATGTCTTCCGGCAGCTAAAACAGAACACTCCGAAGTAGTCTATTTCAGACCTTTCCGAGACTTAGGCAGGCCTTAGTTGTAGGTTCCTATTCAGTCCGTCTTGGCTTCTCTATTTTTTAACCCCCTATATGAGGTATTTATGTTTTACATACAATAATAAATTATGAATAACATTTTTCCTCATTAAAAATATATTATTTAATTTTATGTATCATTATTATTTTTAAAATTTGCTAAAGGGCACATGCACTCACCAGAGAGGGAAAGGGAGAGGAGGAGAGAGAGAGAGAGAAAGCCGCCAGATGTGGGTCTCAAACTGAGGTCAGCCATGTAGGCCTCCATCACCTCAGTCTCCATCCCACCTGCTGGCCCCTATTTATTTATTTTCTAAATTTTCCCCAACCCCAAGGAAACTAAGGAGGCAATGCTGTTAGAGTTAGTAGAATAGAAAACGCCCTTGTTTTGAACTGTACAAATAAATACTAGCATTTCAGAATACTGGTGGCTTCAGGCTAAGTAACTCCACCTCCTATGATGGGAAGTCAATTCTCAAATCACAGTATCAAGGAGAGCTACTGGGCTGGGGAGAAGCACGGAGGACTTACCTTTTAGCACCACTCTGGGGGGCGTAGAGGCTGCTGTTGAAGCTGGCCGGCGGTGCTTTTCCTGTAAGCAGCACCTCTGATCGTCCATCCTGTTGCTTTGGAATCGGCTCAATAGGTCGAAGAAGCCTTCATCCCCAACAGTGTCTGCGCTGATTCTCTAAAATCGTAAGAGAAAACCCGGCACACTTACATTTCAGCATCGATGACCAACAGAATGCACTCAAATGCATAAGGTAAAGAATGAAGATTAAACCTTGGGGCCAGCAGGCTGCATGGTGGTTAAGGGGCTGGACTCCCACATGGCCAGCCACAGTTCAGGTTCTGGACCTGACAGTTTGAAAACCACACTAGGTGTGTGTGTGCATGTGTGCCAAAATCCCAGGAGGAGGATAGAAGAGAAGGGATTAAGGTTGGCCATTCCCCCCTCCTGGGTGGGGGTGATTTCTCACTTTCCCCCTCACTTCACTCTCCAGTGCACACATTCCCCCTATGTCAAAAATCTGAAAATAAAAACTGGACCTTTACTTTAATAAATTTAAAAAGCACTTCTAGCTATTTTAGTCTTTCACTCCTGTTTAATTGAAACTTTCATAGTAGTTTTTATTCCTTCCATGAGTGCAAATGCATTAGAAGGAGGTAAGCACCCCCACTGGAGTTCCAACACTGATCTAACCCCGGCCTTCGGCCAGGCCTGGGTCATGGACACGCATGTGCCCAGTGTACTCAGCGATGTCTCCAGAGACGGGAACTTTCCCGTATGGGTTGCCTTGCAGCCCACTGTGTTTTACTGCCGTGCCACTATCTGGCCCCTAAAGTCAAGATTTCTAAGGCTAAATAGTAACACAGCTTAGAATTAAAGAGAAATTGCTACAGATACCAAATAAATTATGGGGAAACCTGGGGTCTTCCAAAAGGTCGTGGAAATACCTATTATGAAAAAACTAGGTATGGATTTCAAAATTTTTTGGCACCAAAATGAACTTCTGCCATTTTCCCACCAACTTTTTGAAGTCCCCTCATCAGTAATACAGGTATATACCTTAGGTTCAAAGTTAAGTTCCAAGACCCTACAAGGGGACTGGCCTTGTGGCCTGGTGGTTGGGGGAGCTAGAGCCCACAAGGCCAACCATGGTTCGAGTTCCACTGAGGAGTTCTTTCTCACCTTCCCTGTCTCTCTAGCAAGTGTACACACCCCCTGGCAAAATAAGGGGGGGGAAATGCCAGAAGGTCCATTTTAAGCAGTTTTGTAGAAAAACTGGCCCCCTCCAATGAGCTGGAAATAAGGAGAGCAGGGAGTTCAGTTCAGATGCCTCCTGTAGAGTCTGGGTAAGAGATGACCAGTAAGACATGGTGGGGGGTGGGGGGTGCAGAGCACATCTGAGGGACGCAGTGATTAGATATGGTTAGTGAAGAAAGAATCTAGAATGATTTTTTTGGGGGAGAGGCTTTTGCTATAGGGCGTGTGTGCTCACCAGAAAGAGACAGAGAGAGACAGAAAGTGAGAAATCACCTCCCAGGGGGGGATGGCCATGCCACAATCCCTTCTCCTCCATTCTCCTCTTGGGATCTTGGGCACGCACGCATGCACATGCGCCTGGCATGAGTTTAAGCCACGGGGTCCAGGATTCGAACTGCAGTTGACTACATGGGAGTCCAGTGATGTAGCCATTATGCCATCTGCTGGTCCCAAGACTAGATTTTTCTGAAGGCTCTCTCATTGCTTGAAAAATGGACTTGATAATATGAAGTACCTTCTTTGTAACTTACTTGGGTTCTTTTATTATAGGGTAGCCGGATTAGAGATTTCCTTGGTATCAGTAAATTCTTGGTATTTTCTTTTTAAACATTTTTTTCTATTTTTTTATTTGCCAGAGAGCTCACAGGGAAGGGGGAGGAGGGAACGCCCTGCCCAGTGGGGCATGGTCATGCCACAGTCCCACCTCCCTTTCTCTATCCTGTGGGGATCTTAGGCATACACGTGCACACACTGAGCATATTTTCCTAGCTGCTGGGGCTGGGACTCAAACCACTTGGCCAGCAATGTGAGATCCAGCTCCCCAACCACCAGGCCACAGGACCAGACCTGTTAACGTGCCAGACACCTTTGTGTGTGCCCCAGATCCCAAAGGCGGGAGAAATGGAGGAGAAGGGATTGCCAGGTAACCGTTTTCCCTGTGGTGGGTGCTTTCTCGCTTCATCTTTGCTCTGGCGAGTGCACATGCTTTCTGGAAAATTAAAAAAAAAAAAAGAAGAAACTAAGAAAATCTTGAACATCTGAATTTGTTATGTTTTGTATTTTTAGTTTGCTATAGGACACATGTGCTTGCCAGAGACACAGAGAGAGAGAAAGTGAAAAATCGCTCCCCCAGAGAAGATGGCCATTCACAGAGTTTTGTCTACTCTCCTCTCGGGATTCTGGGCCTTCACACAGGTGCACACATGTGTGGTGTGATTTTTAAGCTTCAGGTCTGAGATTCGAACCCTGCTGTTGGTTCTGTGGGATCCAGATATGTTAACCTCTGTGCCACCTGCTGGCCCCTAATCTGTTTGATTTTTAAGCTAAATGGAAGATGGTTTTACTGGGAGACCCTGTATTTTTACAAACACAAGTGAGTTGAAACAGATAATTATTGTTTAAAACAATGGAACAAGTTATCTATGAAGGGAATAATCAGTTTCTATTTTTTTTTTTTTTGAGAGGTTTTTGCTATAGGGCGCGAGCACTCACCAGACAGACAGAGAGACAGAAAGTGAGAAATCACCCCCCAGGGGGGATGGCCACACCGCAATCCCTTCTCCTCCATTCTCCTCTCAGGATCTTGGGCACGCACACACACTTGCCTGGCATGAGTTTTAAGCCACCGGGGCTGGGACGCAAACCGTGGTGGACTACATGGGAGTCCAGCAACATAGCCATTACGCTAACTGCGGGTCCCTCAGTTTCTAGTTTTAAAGACCACAAAAAAGACAGGAAAATATGGACAAGTTCTTTGATTAACAAATATGTTTTCTAGTAAATATGTCACTTAAATTGCCAAAAATTCAATATATTTTCAAGAAAACTAAAATATAGGTACTCAAACACAATATTCAAAAATGTATTTTAAACATACTCTCTGAGAAGGTTGAATCCGGTGGTCAATGGAGTTACTGGCATCTTGGAGAACTTTGGTTGAGGAATTAGTTTTGTACTTTTTTCCCTTCAGTCTGTTGACAAATAGTAGCTTTGCAGAAGGTTTGGCAAGAAGAGGTTTTTGTTTAGCAAGAATTTCACTGTTCCAGTTCTGTACCTATAAAATTATAAAAGAAAGGACATCAAAATACCACACACACAAACAAAAAACAGAACCGGGGATCACTGGTTTCCTATAACATTAACCCGGCATCTTCGCTCATTTCCTACTAGGAGGAGAAGGGGGGAAATGTTAGTGTCCACCCCTCTTCTTTCAGTACATCTCACAATTTTCAAGAGCTTGTACCAAAGGCATCCTGTGGATTCACTTACTGCAACTTGTAAGTGAACCAGGCTCTCTGTTCCTTTTCACACACAGGTTAGAAGGGGAAATTATTTGCTAGAGTGGATTTCCCGGCCTAGTGACTGTTTTGGTCTTATCAAAACATCGAAATGGATGGGACCAGCAGTTAGCGTAATGGCTATGTCGCTGGACTCCCACGTAGTCGACCGTGGTTTGAGTCCCGGACTCAGAGGCTTAAACTCATGCCGGGTGCTCGTGCATGCATGCCCAAGATCCCGAGAGGAGAATGGAGGAGAAGGGATTGCGATGTGGCCATCCCCCCCGTGGGGTGATTTCTCACTTTCTGTCTTTCTAGTGAGCGTACACACCCTATAGCAAAAAACTTTCAAGAAAAACAATATAGCACTAGCAATTTTTCTAGTGTTAACTATTATTTCGGATATGGTTTACGTACACATGGTAATCTTTAAGTGACAGGCTCAAAATAACAAATATTTACTGACTGCAAAAGAAAAACAGTGCATACACCATGACCTTCGTACCTTTAACATTTGCTCCCACGTGTTTTCAAGTAACTCTAAGGGTACATTCTATGTAATAACTGATCATTTTGGTAAGGGACCTTTTTTTAAGGTAATTTCTTTTATGAGGGTGAAAGACAGAGACAAGCACCCTCAACAGGGTCTCATGCATTGTCCCCCCCAACCCTCTTCAGCTTTCCCAGTCAGCCAGGATCATGGGCACAGGGGCCAGGGTGTACTTTCCTTAAGAGAACTAGCTCACAATCTTCCGTGTGGATCTAGTGCCACTAAGCTTAAACCTTTTATTTAATTAAATTTATTAATTGCTTAAATTGCCAGAAGGTACACATGAAAGCCAGAAAGAAAGTATCTCCCAATGGGACATGGTCACCTTAACCTCCCTTCCCTCATCCTCTCAGGAGTCTGGGCATGCGGGTACACGTGCCCAATGTGTTATTCAAGCCACTGGGCTGGGATTCCAACTGGAGTTGGCCAAGTGGGATCCAGCTCCTTATGAACAGTGCTTAACCACTACACTATGGGGCCAGCCCGGGGGAGGCTCATTTTTCCATAGATAAAATTAACAAATAGGGACCAGCAACTGGCATAATGGCTATGTTGCTGGACTCCTATGTAGTTGACCAAGGTTCAAGTTCCAGACCTGGTGGCTTAAACTCACGCTGGGCACGTGTGTGCCCAGGATCCTGAGAGTGGAGAAGGGATTGTGCTGTGGCCATCCACCCCAGGGGGCAATTTCTCGCTTCCTGTTTCTCTGTCTCTCTCTCTGGCGAGCGCACATGCCCTGTAGCAAAAACCTCTCAAAAAAAAAAAAAATTCACAGAGAGATTTTAGGTGTATGGCTTCCAACTATATATATCCTCAATCGAAGTACAGAGCATTCCCATCACCACAGAAAAGTCCTCCATGAAGCACAAAGTGGATAACCCTGCCCTGAAGCTGACGTATGGGAGTGAGACCTGCAGCCCAGGAATCGAGCTCTCTGTTCCTTCTCCCATACAGGTTAGAAGGGGGAGTTATTTGCTACAGTAGATTTCATGATCTACTGACTGGAGAAAAAGAAAATGGACTTTGATATGAAAACACAAAACTATATTTAAAATCCAAGAAGAAACATGAAAAATTAGGGACCAGCAGTTAGCGTAATGGCTATATCGCTGGACTCCCACGTAGTCGACCGTGGTTCGCATCCCGGATCCGGTGGCTTAAAACTCACGTTGGGCACATGTGCGTGCGTGCCCAAGATCCTGAGAGGAGAACGGAGGAGAAGGGATTGTGGCTTGGCCATCGCCCCTGGGGGGTGATTTCTCGCTTTCTATCTTTCTGTCTCTGTCTGGCGAGCATGTGCGCCCTATAGTAAAAACCTCTCCCAACAAAAAGAAACATGAAAAATTAAAAATGTTTTCTATATGGGACTGACAAATGGTATAATGGTTATGTCGCTGGACTCCCACATGGCTGACTGCAGTTTGAATCTTGGGCCTGGTGGCTTGAAACTCACGCTGGGTCTGTGTGCGTACATGTCCAGGATCCCAGACAGAGAATGGAGAAGCTATTGCAGCAGGCCATCCTGCCTGGGGGGTGATTTCTCACTTTCCCTCTTGCTATCTCTGTCTCTCTGGACAGTGTACATGTATCTTAAGGCAAAAACCTCTTAAAAAAAAAAACTAAAAAAAAATTTCTAATTCATCAGAGAAGACAGAGAGAGAGAGAGAGAGAGGTGAGAAAGTGAGAAAGCAAGCCTCCAGATCCAGGACGCAAACCATGGTCAGTCATGTAGGAGTCCAGTGCCTTAACCACTACACCACCTGCTGGTCCTTGCACTGTACTTTTTCTAATTCTTTTTAAAGGCAAATATTAAAAAAGATTTCATATAGGCAAGGCTTAAACTATTTCATTTAAATTAAAAATTATTAAAATACTTTATTATAACAGTTCAAGAAATTGAAGACATAAAAACTGCTGACCTTTTCTGGTGTTAACTTCATAAGTTCCATATTTTCCATACTGTGCCGGCGTCCCAACTTGGGTCGTGTACCTTTGTTAAAAAAAAAAATTAATTCAAATAAACCAGGGAGGCCATATCAGCACTTATGACATTATTCAATTCTTAAGTCCTACATAAACTCCTATGAAAGAAGAAAACATGTACAAACATATATTCTTTTAAGAAGAAGAATTTTTCCATACCAACTATGCAAAAATAGAATATACACTCCCTCTAAAATCCTTTGATGTAAGGAAGTTACATTTTGGTTGGAAACTAACATTGGTTACTAACATTACCCCTTAATTTAGAAATTGCACTTTATAATAACTGGTTTTATATTATCCACATTTTCAAAAAAAACAAACTGTACAGTGGTTTACATAAGCAAAAACCTAATGAAAAGGCCCTAGGCCTTCAATTTTGAGAAAAGAATCAAAATAACATCTCCAGAACTATATTGTTGCTCCGTAAATTATCCCTTTTCATTTTAAGATATCATTAGACGATAGATTTACTTCCAGTAAGGAAATAAGACAGAGTAAGTTCCTCAAAAAGATTTTTCGGGGACCAGCAGGTGGCGGGGTGGTTAAGGGCCCTGGACTCCCACATGGTCGACCGCACTTCGAGTCCTGGACCTGGCGGTTTTTGCTTTCTCGCTTTCTCTCTCACTCTGTCCCTCTCTGGTCAAATTAAAAAAATAAGTAACTGAATAAAGTTAAGTAAAAAATATTTTAAAAAGATTTTTTACACAGTTATTAAATATTAAATACAGAGAATTTACATTTCTAGTCATTCTTTTTAACAAGTAATATTTTACAAGGTACAAGAAATCTCTGATATCTTAACACCTAGCTTAAAATATTACCAACATATTAAATCCCCCTTGTATAGCTCCCTTCATAACTTCCATCTGCCCCTGTCCATCTCTAAGCAATACAGTATTACTAGCATTTTTCCAATATTAATAAATGATATTATATTTATATAATTCTGCAACGTGTTCCCTTTGAGCAATCCAAGCTGCTACGTGTAATTTAGTTGAATTCCCTCTCATTGTCATTTTAGGACTAGAACATTATTTACTTGTTGTACTAGTGACAGAGTGACAGATATTTAGGCTGTTTCCTTTGTCTTTTGCTGTCCTAAGCAGAACTACAGAAAGCCCTGGAGCTCTCTTGGTGTACATGAGCGAGCCTTTCTTCCGGCCCACACATCAGGTAGTGGAATTGCTGGATCATACTTGGTACACTTTCAGCTTCACCAGATAGTTGCCAGATCTTCTTCAGACTAGACTGATTTCTCTCCCTTCAGTACTGTGGAAGTTTCCATTGTCCCAGGACCAGCAGATGGCTAATGATTATGTCACTGAACTCCCATGGAGTCGACTGTGGTTCGAGTCCTGGACCTGGCATCTTAAAATTCACGCTGGGTGCGTGTGCATGTGTCCCCAAAATCCTGAGAGGAGAATGGAGAAGGGACTATGGCATGGCCAACCCCCTGGGGGGTGATTTCTTGCCTTCTGCCTCTCTAGCAAGTGCACGTGACCTACAGCAAAAAAAAATCTCTCGGAAAAAAATGTTTCGGGACCAGCAGTTGGCGTAATGACTATGTCGCTGGGCTCCCATGTAGTTGACTGAAGTTGGGAGTCCCGGACCTTGTGGCTTAAACTCATGCTGGGCGCGTGTGCGTGCGTGCCCAAGATCCTGAGAGGAGAATGGAGGAGAAGGGATTGCGGCGTGACCATCCCCCCTGGGGGTGATTTCTCGCTTTCTGTCTCTCTTTCTCTCTCTGTCTGGCAAGCGCACACGCCCCATAGCAAAAATCTCTCAAAAAATAGTTTCCCTTTTCCCAAATCTATTTGAATAAGTTTTATTAAACTTAATTTCTGCCCACCTCACAGGTTTTTGTATACTACCTCACTGTGGTTTTCAATGATTAAATGAAGTTAAATATCTTTTCACATATTTATGGGCTATTAGTGTTTCTTCTCCATCCATTGTGTCTATATTTTTAGGTGAGCTAGTTGTCTTTTTAACTTACAGTTCTTATAAATTTTGGATATCAATCCTTTTTTAATCATACATGTGGCAAATATTTCCTCTTTATTTAACCTCTTCATGGATTCATTTAATGAAATGAAATTCTTAATTTCAATATTTTCCATAATGGTTTTATTTTCATGACTTCTCCTCTCTTCTGATATCAAGAAGATATTCTCCAATGCTCTCTGAGGTCATACAGCATACTGACTAAGCACTTGATTTTTTTTTTTTTTTCAACAATAGGGAACATAGATTCATTCAAGGTTGGATCAAGGGTGGGTCTCGTGAAGTAAAGGGAGAAGGGCCACAAGTTTAAAGTTTTCAACAATAGGGATCATAGATTCCATTCAATGTTGGATCAAGGGTGGGTCTCGTGCGGATCTGCCATTGTAGGAATGGTGCCGTGGGGCTCTGCAGCATGAGTTATCCTCGGGTATCTGGCTTCCTCAAGAATGGTAGAGAAGTTCCTGTTCTTCCCTGAGGCAATGCAGGGCTGGCAACCATCATCTTCTCACTGTCCATAGGCAGAGGAAGTCCTTCTATATAATATATTTCTCAACTGGTTTAGGACAGCTAAAGGTTCTTTCTGTTGCTTATAGTTGCAAGTTCTCAATCCTTGTTTTCAGCTTCAGCTTGCTGGTCCGGAGGCCACACGTCCGCCCCGGAGAAGCAGCTGAATGCCGGGCAGAGCCCCGGGTGGGGGGCCCGCCGCCCTGCTCAGCACAGGTCCAGGGGGTGGCGGGGGCCCGCAGCCGGGCCCGGGTGGGCCAGCAGCACTCGATTTTTAAAGTCAGAGCAACTATTCACTTGTCGTATGACCTGGCAACTACCTTTCTGGGATCCGGCTTTCTCGTCCCTGAAGAATTACAGTACCTACCACACATCACTGAGTGATGGCAACTGCGTCAGAGCCCACACAGGGTCCGTGCAGAGCCGGTAAGTACAGCGTGAGCACCCAGCAGGTGTTGGCCAGCATCACTATTTCTGCCTTCTGTCTGCCTTGGACATTGGAGTTCTGTTTTTCTTTGCTAAAGGGTGTGTATGCTTGACAAAGAGATAAAGTGAGAAATCACTTTCCAGGGAGGACAGCCGCACTGCAAACCCTGCTCTTGGGATCTAGAGCATGTACACACACGTGCCCTGTGTGATTTTCAGGCTGCCAGGTCAGGGATTAGAACTGTACTATTGGCCATGTGGGATCCAGCTCCTTAACCTCTACCACACCACTCGCTGACCTTCTGCTTAAATCTTTACTCCAGTAAGAGTTGATTGTTGTGTGTTATTTTCTATCTACGTAAGGAACATAGACTATATTTCACTCCACTGGTCTGTTTGTCTGTTGCTAGGTCAACAGCACAGTCTTACTGTAGAGAAGTTCTTCTCATTTGCTGTTCTTTGACCTTGGGGCTGGCCCTGTAGCCTGGTGGTTAAGGATACCTAGCTATTACATGGCTGACCACGGTTTGAATCCCAGCCCTGATGGCTTGAAAAAACACACTGGGTGCGTGTGTATGTGCATCCCACAAATCCCAACAGGACGGAGAAATGGAGAGGGACTGCAGTGTGACCACCCCATGCAGGGACAGAGGGTGCTCTCTCCCTCTCCCTGTCTCTGGTGAGGGCATGTGCCCTCTGGCAACTAAAAATGAAAAAAAAAAAATAATGTTTTGGCTTTTCTCAGACCTTTTTCCCCTTCACATAGATTCGTAAATCATCTCATCAAGCTCTTCAAAAGCATGTGCTTTGCTTGGCAGTACACTAACCTGGCATCAATCTGGGGGACGGACATCTTTTCTAATGTTTAGTCTTCCAGTGTGAGCTTGGTTTAACTTCTGTCAGTGACTGAGAAAGTGTGTTCAACTTCCCACCCTGACTGTGGTTATTCCCATTTCTTTGGTCAGTTCTGCTTCATTTATGTTGAGGCTCTGTTATTACTGCTATTAAGCACAGGTGGCTTTATTTTCCTGGTGAATTGAACTGTTAGCCATTGTGAAGCACCACCATGAAGTGATCTTCATTTCTACTAGGACTTTCTAAAAATTATTTATTTTATTATTTTTAAAGTTTGCTATAGGGCACATGTGCTCGCCAGAGAAAGATGGATGGGAAGGGAGAAAGCAAGTCACTGAGTCTGGGACTTGAACCACGGTTGGCCATGTGGGAGTCCAGCACCTTAACCACCAAGCCACCTGCTGGCCCCTCTACTAAGACCTTTCGCCGTAAAGTATATTTTACCTGATACTGAAACAGCTATACTTGGGGCAGCAGATGGTATGGCTTTTAATGCCCCAGGCATATGTGCGTGCGTGCCCAACATCCCGAGAGTAGACTGGAGGTGAAGGAATTGTGGAATGGTCATCTTGTGATTGGCCACGTGGCTTCTAGCACTGCAGTTCAGTATGATAATGACTGTGCCACAGACTTGAGACCAAAGATTGATTTTTGATAGGATCTCTCACCAGGTCAGGATCCCCCTTGGCCAGTCTCTCTACCCACCAGGACTGCAGGTGCATGCCACTGCCCTCAGCCTATTTAGGTTGGTCAAGAACCAAACCTGGTCCTCTGTACGGCCCTGGCCTGTAAGCAGCGGTGTCTTACCAGTGTAACGTGTGATAACAGAACTGCGACTGTATGTGCATATTTCATTTACAGTTTACTGCCCCTATCTTCCATGAGAATACCTGTCCTTGTGAAGCCAGATTGAGAAAAGGGGATGTGGTAAAAGTGGGGCTGAAAAGGTAGGTAGGGTCCAGATTACATAGGCCCTTTTAGCCCTGGTGAAGACAGGATTCAGAGCGAGGTGCAATGGGAAGTCACTGAAGGCTTCTGAACAGAGGAATGACACGATGCAAGTTTTAAAAGAGCACTCTGGCTGCTCTGCAGACAACATGAAGACCAAGGATGCAAGCAAGGCCCAGCATGAATGCTGCAAGCAAAAGAGTGCTGAACTGCAGTGCTGGAAGCCACATGGCTGACCCAGGTTCAGATACCCAAACTGGTAGAAGCCAGGTGCAAACGCAGGCACCCAAGATCATGAGGAGCCGGAGCACTTGGGCCCAAGATCTTGGCATGATAAGACCATTTTCAGGTACCTCTCTCTCATCTCAGCCTCTCGTGTGTATGCGCACATACTTTCTATAACAAATAAAATAAACTTAGAAATAATGGATGGAAGAGAAATAAGTCCTCTACTGGGAGATGTTCATAGTTGGTATGAAGACTGCTGCTGTGTACACCATGAACGCGACTCAGGATATATCTTAAAGGCAGTGTTTCTGATAGGTTGGATATGTAAGAAGATGGGAGAAAGGGGGCAAGGATGATCCCTAGGTTTTTGGCCTGAACACTTGGGAACTGGTGGTACCACTCCGTAAGATGGGTTAGAATGGAGAAGAACACTTTAACATCATGGAGATGTTAACTTCTGTAATGTCAACTAAACACTCGAAAGGAAATGTTAAATATATTTTTCAGTCTCAAGTTCAAGAAAAAAATTGTGGTTGGAAATAGGAATCTGAAAAGCATCAGATAAAGATGGTATGAAAGTGGAACAACTGGATGCGATCATCCAAAGCTGTGCTCACAGTCAATTGCATCGCGTGGCTTTTCTTATTTTTTTAGAGTTTTGCTATAGGGCGTGTGTGTTTGCCAGAGACAGAGACAGAGAGAGAGAGAGAAAAAAAGTGAGAAGTCACCCCTCGGGGGGGTTGGCCATGCTGCAATCCCTTCTCTTCCATTCTCCTCTCAGGATTTTGGGCACGCACATGCACCTGGAGGCCCAAGCCTCCACGTTCTGGACTTGAACTGCAGAGTCAACCATGTGGGATCCAGCACCTTAACCACCATAATACCTGCTGGCCCCAGAATTTTTTACTGTAAGCTTTTTGAAAGTCTTTAACTTGATGACAAGACATCAGTTTCTTTTGCTCCTTCCTTTTCTTCATAGGATTTAGAGAAGGAAATTAGAGGGATAAAAGCTAGATTTTTCACTGACTTTGAAGTTCAAAATACTTATCTGTGTCACAATTTTTTTTTTTGAGAGATTTTCACTGTAGGGCACGTGCGCTCGCCAGACAGACAGAGAGAGACATAGAGACAGAAAGCGAGAAATCACCCCCCAGGGAGGATGGTCACGCCGCAATCCCTTCTCCTCCATTCTCCTCTCGGGATCTTGGGCACACACGCACACATGCCCGGCGTGTTTTAAGCCACCAGGTTTGGGACGCGAACCATGGTCGACTACGTGGGAGTCCAGCGACATAGCCATTACGCTAACTGCTGGTTCCCGATATCTTCACTTTTATAAATTTTTAAAAAAGCCTAGAGATAGAGAATCTAAATGTATGTTTACAAAAGAAAATAATTATGCCTTTGCCATTTCTAAGTACACGATAAAAACTATATCATATTCTGAACTGACAAATTAATGGGCCTGTGTAAAGCAAAAAAGGTATAAAAAGTTGAACTTCCTATGTTACACATTCTCTCTGGATATGATAAACATGTGTGATAAGTAACTTACATAGACATCTTGAGGATAAAGAAATTGGGTTTTGGAAGACCTATTACTTACCGTGTAAACTGTTATCGATTTCAATGTTTTCAGACATTACGGAATTGTTTGTGCTGTAGCTCAGACCAAGAACCATTTGAAGATCTGAGAGGTTCAGTCGTGCTGTTAGTTCGCCACTTCTGTCCCCGACCTACAACCACAAGCATTTATATTTCAAGGCAAAGAATAGTGAAAATTACATGAAAATGTTGTGAACCTAAAACTGGAAGAAAAATATAAAAAAATGAAGAGCTACAGTAGAATTTTAAGACCATGAATGAAAAAGGATTGCATACGTCATTAATAGTTTTAGAAAAAGAATTTAGAAAGGACGGTCTCTAAACTATCGCAACAGCAGTGCCAACTATGCTCTAGTAAATAACCCTGACTCTAAGCATTAGGTGGCCCCTGTTCTCCAGGACAGTATTAAGTAATACCCTGTGACCCGTTAACTTTGTACCACACGAGTAAGATTTCCTTAGATTTTAGTGTGTATTCATCAAGCCAGCATCAGATATTGCTGGTACTTTCTAATACACTATCTCTAATTATTATAGCAATCTGCTAGGTAGATATTATTATTCTCACTTCACAGATGACAGAAATGAAGCTCGGGAAAGGTTTCCAAGCTCAAATAGCCAATGGCAGAACGGTAACAGGAACTGGTCCCTGATCCTCAAGACCACGTTTTCCTTCAATGCCACGCTGCTCCTCCACGGAGAGGTGGGGAGGGGTGGGGGCGTATTTCAGGGCCGTCCCTCCATCCCCCCAGGCCCAGCCTGACCTTCCTGTCTTCCTACATCAAGGCAAACACAACGTACCTCTGCTACCTCTCAAAATGACTTGTGCCAGGCATTTGTGCTCTCTTATGCCAAGAGAATGGCATATAATCCAATTTATTATTTAGCCATATGTAGCCATCTAGGGAATATAGGATTCCTCCTCTGTAGCCAATTTGTAAATTACAATAGCACATGGCCAGTTTTAAGGTTTCATACCTCTCTTGAAATTTCCAAGTGCTTTTCGGCAAAATGCATCGCTTGATCATGATTTCCTAGAGCTGTGTACGCATTTCCTAAGCTCCAACATGCGCGTCCTTCACCAATTCTAAAACATTAATTCAAAGCCAACATGCGGTTAATCTGCAAAGAGTTAAATAAACCTATCTAGTAATAATTAAGGATATAAACCATGCTTTGGATTTATTTGCCCTTTATATAAAGAATATACTAGCATAGTACAAGAGACATACAAGAATACCAAGATAACTAAACTTAGAGTCAAGTATTAATACATGGAAAACGTTCTTTTCAAATACGCAATGCGTTATAACACAGTCAAATCCCAGGCATAGGCCTTCTAGCCCAACTGTCCCATTTTCTTCCTATAAGAGCCCTCCCAGGTAATTTTTCTGTGTGTGTTTGAACCCAGGCAGAGAGAACTCGCTACCTTTTAAAGTAACATATTTCATTTTTGACAACTTCTTTCTCGTACTGAGATAAAAATCTGTCTTCTAAAGCAAACATCACAGACTACAGGCTGGCCAAGATACACTGCTTTTCACACAGTAAGACAAAACGTAACAACTGAACTAGGCACCAACATTTAAATATCATAAAAACTCAGGACTTCCAGATTCTCTTGGTAAAAACAGGAGGACCCAGACACAATGGACCCTCGTTCCTACTGAACAGCTCCAGAGGTGGGCCGCTGGCGTCCCCTTCCCACTGGGCAGGCTCCCTACCGCAATCCCCACACTGATCTATTGGGAGGACGTCTGCCGGGGCAGCTGGGTTTGTAAACTAGACGCCGATCTGGGTTCATGAGCACGTGAAACCAGACTAATTGCTCTGTCACAGGCTAGATAGACAGTAACGCACTGAGGACCTCACTGCGACAGAGGAAATTCCTTAAAGGAGAATTAAACAAAAGGAAAAATGACGAGAAACACCTTAGCTATTCAAAAATGCACCTACATTTTACCTTAACTACAGTAAGATGATCTATTACTTACCTATCGCTTAGCTCCTGAGCGATGGCTAAGTGCTTCAGGTGATAATCGATGGCCTTTTCGTAGTCTTGAAGTAAAGTATATGTGTTTCCAAGACTATAGCAAGACTGTGCTTCCACGGCTCTGTCTTTAAGCTGTCGAGCCAACAGCAGTGTTTTCCTAAAAGGAATTAATTTTTACATAATGATCATCTTTATTTTTTTTAAGAATTTTGTTTTCTAGTTATTTATTCATTTATTTCATTTTGACCAGAGAGGGGCAGAGCAAGAGAGAAAGAGAGAGTGGGAAAGTGAGAGAGCAAGCCTCCAGGTCCAGGACTTGAACCGTGGTCGGTCATGTGAGAGTCCAGCGTCCTTAACCACCATGCCACCTGCCAGCCCCATGATCATCTTTTATTTTAGCTATAATAACCATGAAATAAAAGTCTCACTTTTCCTTTGTGCTTTCTGCTGCCTTTAAAGTAAATGTCTTAGAGCCTACAAAACATAATTTTATAATTTACTGCCCATACTTCATTACTTTTAGATAAAGTGACACACCAAATGCAGATTCAGACTTTCAGATTAAATTTGAGAATCCTGTCAGTTTGCCACAGTACAGGAGTATTGAAACATGAAATCCAGTGCCTCCAAAGACTGACACAGTATTTTTATTTATTTATTTTTTAATTTTATTTTCTTTAGTTTTTAACCCTAAGAGCATGTGCACTTGCTGGAGAGAGAGAGAGAGAGAGAGAGAGAGAGAGAGAAAGGTAAAGTGAGAAGTCAACCCCCGGGGGAGATGGCCACATCACAATTCCTTCTCTTGCATCCTCCTCTTGGGCTTTGGGGCACGCACGCACACATCTCGGCATGATTTTCAAGCTCAAAACACAGCCGGCCATATAGGAGTCCAGTGCCTTAGCCATCGCACTACCTGCTGGCCCTCTGACACCGTACTTTTAACATGAAAAAAACTTGGTATCGGGAATAACTAAGAGGGTTTTAGCCATATGTTTGTTTTCTGTCATACTCTTGCCTTTACAGCTTGTCAAGATTTGTTTTGTTTCACCAGAGGGCACGTGATAGGTGTTGAGAGAAGGGGAAAGGGAGAAAATAGCCCTAATGGGGCACGGTCACGCCACAGCCCTTCTCTTCCATGTCTCCATCCTGTTGGGATTTAGGGCACACATACACACACACCTGGTGTGTTTTTCAAGCTGCCAGGGCCAGGATTCGAATCACGTGGTTAGCCATGTGGGATCCAGGCCCTCAGTTTGTCAAAATTTAAAATCCTGCCACTGGTGGCATGGTAGTTAAGGCACTGGACTCCTACAGAGCTGACTGTGGTTCGAGTCCTAGACCTTGAGGCTTGCTTTCTCAAGTTCCCTCTCTCCCCCTCCCTGTCTCTGTCTTTCTCTGGTGAGCATATGGGTCCTGCACCAAATTTTTAAAAAAGTAATAATCATAAATAAAATTAATTCTTTAAAAATAAAAAAAATGCTTAGGTAAAATTCTTGTATGTGTACCATTAATCACCAATTCATGAAAAATACTGAACACTGCATTTAAACATTACTCAGGTTCTACCTAACGCACACGGTACTGTCGCTGAGACGGTAACATAGTCGTTAAGAGCACGGATCCTGGAGCCAGACGTCTGGGTTCATATCCCAACTCTACCCATGACTAGTTACATAATCAGGGACACGGCACTCCACTGCTCTGCTCACCGGTTTGCTACATATAGTATAGGGGAAATATTTCACTAGATTTTTGTGAGGATTAAATAAATATGTGTAAACAGAGAGAGAGAGAGAGAGAGAGAGAGAGAGAGAGAGAGAAAGAACAGCATCTTGTGCAGAGTAGATGCTTTACAAATGTAAATGCTGTATCGTTTTTAGTGTCAGTGCTTAAGCCAACAGGTGCTTTTGGATCTGGTCATTTAAATGACTCCCTCAATTTCTGCCAAATAGTATAATTACTTCATATAATTGATATTTGTATGTATATAATATATATATTATATATGTATATATATAAATGAAAAATGACTATATGGTAATGTGATTAAGTTTTTATCAAACCAAACACAGCTGAAATAACATATTTAATGAACGATATCTTCAAAGCTGTCACCTTGGGAGGCTACACACTTATTCTAAGGTTGTCTGTCCTACCCAACATTTCCAAAGACTTTCGGAACTGCCTTTAGACTCTGTAGTTAAGTCATTATCTCTGATGGAAGAGTTGTCCTGTAATGATCAGAAATCTTTTGGGAACCAAATTCAATGACTAAAGTAGGTTTACCAAACTACTGCTTTGTGTCCTGAAGAATGTGGGTCTAAAATGTTATGAAAGCCTTCATGTTTTTTTTTGGAGAGGTTTTTGCTATAGGGTGCGTGTGCTCGCCAGACAGACAGACAGAGACAGAGAGACAGAAAGTGAGAAATCACCCCTCAGGGGGTATGGCCATGCCAAAATCCCTTCTCCTCCATTCTCCTCTCAGGATCTTGGGCACGCACGCACACACGCCCGGCGTGAGTTTTAAGCCACTGGGTCCGAAACTTGAACCATGGTCAGCTACGTGGGAATCCAGCGACATGGCCATTATGCTAACTGCTGGTCCCATCCTTCATGTTTTCAAGCTGTCAAGGCTGAGATTCGAACCACGGCTGGCCATGGAATCTGGCTCCTTTCACACAACACTCAGCCACTGCACTTCGAGGCCAGCCCCGTGCTATTATTATTAAATCTCAGTCTCAAGTACAGCATTCCGTACTGAGCTCTGAGTGCCAGGTGTTGTGCTCAGGGCTTTATGTCCTCTCCGTTCAGTCCTCCTGATATTGCCCATTACAGATGAGGAATCTCAGGCTCAGAAGCCCACAGTTTCCACTAGGCTACAACAAAAATTAGATGCTAACCCCGAAGGCTTTGACTGAACGGACTGCAGGACGACGCGTTTTACATTTATCTACAGAAATATCGGACTCACTTGTAGTATTCAGAGGCAGTTTCAAATTCGCCAAGAAATATATATGCATTTCCAAGGTTGCTATATGCTCTTCTTTCAGCTGCTTTATCTCCAAACTCTTTTGCAATAAGGAGACGCTGAAATAGAAAACCTTAATTAGATGTAGCTACAATAAAACAGGAAAAACATAATCTAATCACCATTCGAAACTTCAACGGAGGAAATAATCTGGCTCTAGGGTTTTCCACCGTACCTGTTCGTGAGCTATGACTGCATCCCTGAAGTTGCCGAGGAGGTAATGTGTGTTTCCGAGATTTCCAAAGGCACGCCCCTGGGCTGCTCGGTCTCCCAAAGCCGTTACTAATGACAGGTTTTCCCTAGGTGAGAACAGAAAGTGGTGAAAACATAAGTTAGGGGGAAAAGATGATTTAATTTTCAGTAATTCTGAAATTCTGTTAATAAAACACTAAATTTGTTCTTAAATCATTCAGACTAATCATTGATGTTTCTTATTTGTGCCACTAAGGGGCGCTGGTCTGCAACTGAGATGAAAGCTGCAGATGCCCACCAGCTCCACACTAGAACATTTAAGCAACTGACCTGATGGTTTATTTTTATTGGCCAGGCTGTAATTTTAAAACCTAAACTTTTTGTCACACTTAAGAACTTTCCACTGAATAAAGGCTGTACATAGTATAGATGGGCCCATGTGACTGCACCAGCCTTACTCACTCATAAAAGTCCACAGCAGCCTGCAGAGCGTTTTTCACTTCTTCTGGAAATTCTCCTATGTCCTGGGGCCCAGGGCAGCCAAAACTTTTCCCTTTGGCATGATATACATTTCCCAGATTGTAAAGTGCTCTTGCCTCTCCCACCTAGGTGAAGATATTAGCAGAGGGTGCATTTCAAACCAAAGGCCAGGTATTTAAAACACTGATCACGCAAATGAGGGGAGAGGACTGAAAAGTTCATGGGGGAATCAGCAGTTAGCGTAATGGCTATGTCGCTGGACTCCCACGTAGTCAACTGTGGTTCGCGTCCTGGACCCAGTGGCTCAAAACTTACGCTGGGCACGTGTGCATGCGTGCCCAAGATCCTGAGAGAAGAACGGAGGAGAGGGGATTGCGGCGGGACCATCCCCCCTGGGAGGTGATTTCTTGCTTTCTGTCTTTCTGTCTCTCTCTGTCTTTCTGGTGAACGCACGCACTCTACAGCAAAAACTTCTCCAAAAAAAAGAAAAAAAACGTTCATGGGAAAATGGAGTTAAAGTACGAGTTTATTTTGGTACAAAAGTTTTTGAAATTAATGCATAATTTTTCATCACATGCAATTTCCATTATTATTTTGAAAATAATTTTTGACACTGGATGTCCATATACAATCAAACAGATAATTACTTATGAAAGAAGGACCTCTTGCTATTTCTTTCTTTTTTTGTTAAAAAAATTTTATGGAGCAAGCAGGTGGCATGGTGGTTAAGGCGCTGGACACTCCCATATGGCCAACCATGGTTCAAGTCCCAGACCTGGTAGCTTGCTTTCTCTCTCTTTCTCTCTGGTCAAATTAAAATAAATGAAGGAGTGAATAAGTAAAATTTAAAAATTATTTTAAAATATTTTATGCTTTATGTTTTGGTATTAACTTTTAAATAAAATACAGACTAATTAAGCAGTTTTAAAACACAAAGCGTAATGGCTATGCCGCTGGACTCCCACGTAGTCGACCGTGGTTTGAGTCCTGGACCCAGTGGCTTAAATTTATGCCAAGCGTGTGTGCGTGCGTGCCCAGGATCCCGAGAGGAGAATGGAGGAGAAGGGATTGCAGCATGGCCATTCCCCCTGGAGGGTGATTTCTTGCTTTCTGTCTCTCTGTCTGTCTCTGTCTTTCAGGTGAGTGCACGTGCCCTATAGCAAAAAAACTCTCCACACACACACACACACACACACACACACACACACACACACACACACACACACACACACACACACACACACACACACACACACACACACACACACACACACAGCAATTTCAGTGAAAACATTTGGTCTACCATCTATGTTTCCTTATTACCTTGTCATTAAGCTCTCTGGAAATATCGAGATGTCGCTGACAACAAACTATAGCTTCATCAAAATTCCCAAGGACCTTTAAGGTGTTTCCCAGATTACCACTAGCTTTGGCTTCCCCCAACTGGTCTCCAATAGTCCTGAAGGAAACAAAACAAATTTTAAGAATTATTTATTTAATTTTATTTATTCATTCATTCATTTTAATTTGACCAGAGAGACAGAGAGAGAGAGAGAGTGAGAAAGCAAGCCACCAGGCTTGGGACCTGAACCATGGTAGGTCATGTGTGGTAGGTCATGCGGGAGTGTCCAGCACCTTAGCCACCACGCCACCTGCTGGTCCCAGAAACAAAACAAATTTTAAAAAATGGTGTTAAACATTTCATAAAGCAGCCAATGTACAGTTTTCCAAGAGAATAACTGACATGCTTAAGGTAAGAAAGACCATAGCCTTAAAACCTACTTTAAATAAAAACTTAAAACTTACATCTCAGTATTCAAATTTAATTAATTTCCACTCACTTAATTAAACTCCAGAGTCATTTCATTACTATTCATTCAATTAAGCTCTGTTCAACCTAAAGGCTGGTTTTAAAAAGTGATGCTATTGGGGCCAGCAGATGGTGGTGAGGTGGTTACATCGTCGCTGGACTCCCACATGGCCGGCTACGGTTCAAGTCCCGGACCCAATGGCTTGAAAATCATGCTGGGTGGGTACCTGTGTGTGTGTGTGGGCCCAAAATCCCAGGAGGAGAATGGAGAAGGGATTGAATCATGGCCATTCCCCCTTGGGGAGAGGGGGTGATTTCTCACTCTCCCTCACTGTTTCTCTTTCTCTCCAGCAAGCACACAAGCCCTCTGACCAAAAAACAAAGTGATGCAATTGAGCTGAAATCATTGTACACATTGTACACATTCTTTTAATTAAATGGAAAAAAACACTTTTTAAGTAACAATTTAGGGAGGAAGAATATTAAAAAGCCTAAATGAAGGGGTCAGCAAGTGGCATGGTGATTGGGGCACTGGACTCCCACAGCGCTGACTGCAGTTTGAGTCCCCAGCCTGGCAGCTTGCTTTACCACTTTCCTTCCCTCTCCCTGTCTCTCTAGTCACATTAAAGAAAATAATAATAAAAAATAAAATTAAACAAATAATTCTTTAAAAAAAACCCAAAAGCTTAAAATAATTACCTTGCAAGAGTTAAATCATGATGGTGGTATTCTAATGCTTTGGCATAATCATGCAAATAGAAATAAGCATTGCCCAGCTGGCTGTAAATAGCGCTAAGTGTTTTCAGGTCTTCGGTTCCAACCTGAACTGCAGCTTCAAAGAACGACACGCCAGCACGGCAGTCTCCTGACTTACACAGACGCTCCCCTTCCAAGGCCAGCTCCAGGCAAGAAGCTTCCATTCTACAAAATGACAGGACAGACGGTTACAACGTTACATGACCAATGCACGGCACTGTTTCTGACTTCCAGTAACATCCTTTCAATGTGAACTGTGTGGCTTCTCTTACTCGGAATAGCTTCCTCTATAACTGAAGTATACCTATCTATCTATCTATCTATCTATTTATCATTATTAATGAAACAGTAAACACAGTTATTTGTAGCAAGAATTCATTTGCCTATTCAAACGCTTTTGTGTTTCAAATTCAGAATAATTTAATAACTCTTTATCTCATATATAGCTGGAAATGGGACAGATACACGTCTCGATCCTGTCACAAGAGGCAGAATTCGAGCATTTGGTACCACATTCTGAGATAGGGTCAAAGTGACATTCCTGGTTCCCTTGAGACCATTTCCACCGTCCAAGAAAAAATATTTTGTTTTCATATCCTTCAAAAACGGCTTCGGATTATCACCTCTCAGAACCATCTTATCCCAGAGGACAACTTGGCTCAGAGCATTATTTTTTGTGGAATATTCTGCTGATAAAGAAGCACCTGCTTCACGTTCCAATCGAATGTATTCTCTAGATCAGCAGTTACAGCAAATGTGATGAATCCCAGATCACTTCTTTCTCTAGGTCCAGTGAGGTGGTCCACATTTTTTAGCATGATCCGCGAGACACGCAGCCACACCGGGACGCTCCTGTCTTTGCAGGTGGTGGTGGTGAAGCAGCCGAAGGCGAGCGCCGCCATCACGCTCAGCGAGTTCGCCCGCGACAGCACCGTGTTCTTTGCGACCGTCTCCCACGAGTCCTGTCCCCACACACACACCTAGGTGCCCGCTCTGGCCACAGACCCCCTAATTCAAATCCCTGAGCCTTACAGGTCTGTTATATAGGAAAGCTAAGAATCTCTACATGGAGCTTGTTTTAATTTGCCACCCCAAAGCAACCCACTTCGCTGGCGAGAGAACCCAGAGTGTTTCATGAACAATTCGGGTTGCGGCAGACCTGTGGACGTCCTGAGTGTGTGCCTGGGAAGATGAGGTCCTACAGTTCACTGTGCCGTCGGTGATCCGGCGGTCTGCTCTCCTGCCCACCAGCTCCTCCCGCCATCCCGCTACCGACTCCCTGGCGCCACTCTGTCTCAAACAGATAATCTCTTTCTCTGAATCTCTTTTTTCGTCTAACCACCACACAGCCACCTGTACCCTAGAAAAAAAACAAAAAAAGAGGAGCAAAAAATCTTGATCTACAAGGCATACTTTCAACAAGAGAATGAAATATCAGGAAAATTTAATTTAGAAAGTAATGATTTAGGGCCAGCCTGGTGGTCATGGCAGCTGGATCCCACGTGGCTGACACCATGGTTCAAGTCCCGGACCTGAATGCTTGAGAAGCATGCCAGGCAAGTGTGCGTATATATACCCAAAATCTCAAAAGGGATGGGGTGTGATCATTTCCAATGGGGGTGTCCAAGCACGCTCTCTCCCTCTCTCTGTTGTTCTCTGGTAACCGTACCTTCTGGTAAATTGAAAACAATTTTTAACTGAATAAAATTACCGTATGTACCACCCATGTTACACTTATCACCCTCTGAAAACCTTAAGCTCATCAAACACATTCATTTTTGGAACAATACTAAATTTAAAAAAATAACTAATTTTATTTATTCATTCATTTATTTTAATTTGATCAGAGACAGACAGAGAGGGAAAGTGAGAAAGCAAGTCTCCAGGTCTGGGACTTGAACTGTGGTTGGCCATGTGGAAGTGTCCAGCATCTTAACCACCACACCATCTGCTGGCCCCGGAACAATACTAAATTACTCCTTATTAGCATTAGCTCTGAGCCACCCTACGGTATCAGGGGTTCTTAATGCTGACTACACAATATGCAGAGTTTATACAGAACACTTTAAAACTTCTGACACAGGACCCCACTCTCTGCATGAGGTCTGGGCATTGTATTTTTTCAAAGCTGTCAAATAATTCTAATGTACAAGCTGACGTTGAGAACCAATGCTCTAAAAGGAAAGGTGAATTAAGCCACCACTCATCCTAAACTCACTCAAATGTAATAGTTTGTATACCCAGTAGCAGGTCAATCAACATGCTTCTTCAGGTACAACCTTTTAGTTTATAAAACTTCAAGCTTCCTTAGAGCCATAAATTAAAATGAGACTGTAAAAGAGTAATTCAGAGGGGCCAGCAGGTGGTGTGAAGGTTAAGGTGGTTGGCTCTCGCATGGCCAACTGTGTGGTCAAGTCCCAGACCAGAGGCTTGAAGAACACACCAGGCACATGTGCATGCTGCCCCAAATCCTGAGAGGAGAATGGAGAAGAGATTTCAGCATGGCCATCCCCTCTGCCGGGTGATTTCTACTTTCCTCCCCCATCATCCCATCACAAAGCATTCTCCCAGGAAGTGCTCAGCCCCATGGCAAAAACTAGGGGGGGAAAAGGTAATTTAGTATTGTTTTAAAAATGAACATGTATGATGAGCTTAATCAGTGTTTTGAAGGGTGATAGGTATACCAGTGGTGGCAAATAAGGTAATTTACTCAGTTTAACATTTTAATAGTTACATATTAACTTAATGTGTATTAGAAAATAAATGTAAGTATAACATCACATTCACAGTTCCACGGATACCAATTTGGATGAAACTAGATATATTTTTAATAATAAGTTAAAGATAGTATGCCAATTAAAAAAAAAGTTTCCCCGAATTTCACAATCACAATAAATCTGATGAAACAATAGACTTCAAGGCGGGCAGGTGGTGTAGTGGTTAAGGATGCTGGACTCCCACATGTCTGACCATGGTTCAAGTCCCAGACCCGGTGGCTTGCCTTCTCACTTTCACTTTCCCTTTCTCTCTCTCTAAATTAAAAAATAATAAATAAAATAAAGTGGATAGTGATTTTTTAAAACTCTGGACTAAAGTTAACACAGCCAACTGTCCAAGTTCAAGGCCAACTTCTAATTTGGAATAAGCATACAGACGTGGTCATCTCTAATGGCTGATTTTCAAGTTTTATGTCCAGGAATCTTTTTTTATAATTCAAGTATTTTGGCTGTGGCTATGGCTTGTTCCCAGTTAGACCTTCCCTCTATCAACGTGCTGCAAGCAAATCTCTAACACGTTGCTTTAGCACTGGACCAAGCCAATCATGGGGGGAAGATCTAAAGTGCATGAGTCAAATAAAGCAGAAACCTGAAATCACTATGCTTATGTTCCTTTTACGTCATTTCACAATTATTGGATCATCACTGTATCAATGACCCAGTAATAAGGCCCATTCCTGGGGCCAGCCCGCTGCACAGTGCGGGCTCCGTAGGGAGGCTGGGGTTAGACCCCCGGCACATGTGCACACCTGTGGTGCTGGCCGCGGGGAGGACTGTGGCAGGAGGGCCTGCTGAGTTCCTGTCTTTCCCTCTCTTGAAAGAAATAAACAAAAAATAAAGAGTATCTATTTAAAATTGTATGAAATTACTGATATATGTATAAAGAGAAATGAGTCACCCTAAGATCTGATTTTATTTGACTGAGAAAGTCTACTTTTTTTTTTCTTTTTTGTAGAGGTGTGTGCGCGTGCCAGAAAGACAGAGAGAGACAGAGAGACAGAAAGTGAGAAATCACCCCCCAGGGGGGATGGCCACGCCGCAATCCCTTCTCCTCCATTCTCCTCTTGGGATCTTGGGCACGCACGCACACGTGACCAGCATGAGTTTAAGCCACCGGGTCTGGGACTCGAACCGCAGTCGACTACGTGAGAGTCCAGTGACATAGCCATTACACTAACTGCTGGTTCCCACCTTGCTATCTTTGAAGACACTATCTTGGAAGATATTTTAGTAACTAATACCAAAAAATAAAGTAAAAAACTCTAACTTTTGATTTATTGTTCAATATATTATAGTACTGGTATATTTTATTAGAAAAGAAGTCAATGTTCTGGCAAAATCTCCAGCATCTCAATGAAACGTGTATAATTGCAAAATAGGGCAGTTGGTTTATAAATCTTAAAATATTTTTAAAAAAATTCATGAGAGAGTGTGTTGACAGAAATAACCAAGCTCTGTAGAAATAATAAAATGGCTTATTCTTAACGCAAATACAAGTGACCACGACTAGTCTCTGTTGGCCCAGAGAAAGTGTTTCTGGTGCTAAGAGGCAGTGGCTCTATTCAGTCCCGAGAGCTGGAGCCTGCTCTGTCAGTCAGCGTAAGGAGTCTTTACATTGGCCTGGCCCAAAAAGGTGGTGCATCTGGAAGTGGGGCGTGGGGAGGGGCCTATAGGTTATTAATGAGTTCAGAAATTCTTAGATCAGGTGCCTGGTTTAACAGCACAAGTCTCTATATCAAGACTCACAGTAAACAGAAAACAATGCTTGAGTTTGGCTTTAAGAGAGATAAGAAGGTTTTACTACGTATCACATGATGTTATGCCAGGGACGGATGTAGGGAACACCGCACAGTCACTGAGACAAAGCCGATTATTATAATAATAATATTAGTATTTGTAGATGTGACCACCTTCGGCCCCTTGGAAGAAAAAGAATAGTCAGAAATCTGTCCTTGAGGCAGGGGCATCCTCCACAGGGCCTGGTCAAGCCATGATTTCCTTCCTCTGGATCCTGGCCATGCAAACACGTGCCTGGTATGTTTCCAAGCCAACTGGACTGGAGACCTGAACTACAGCCAGCATGTGGCTTCCAACTCAGCAGTCTCATATGCTACTGGCTGCACCAGAGACTGGGGCAGTTTATAAATTTTTTAGAAGACCATTAAATAGTAACAGAGTAAGTAATTTTATATCCTGTCTCTATGAGAGAATAGAATTACTTCATTTGTCTACAGGTTGGGTGGAAAACAAAGAACAGACACAGAGGGAGAACTAGGAAAACACATGCCATTAAAATACATATCATATACAAAGTTTCTTTTATTTTTTCTAATTGCTATTTAGTTGTACAATCAAAGAAAGTCTATTTCTAATAACTATAAACACAGT